ACTATTGACATTTTGGACTAGATAATTCTTTGTTATGGGGGCTGTCGTGTGCACTGTAGGATGTTTAGAAATGTTCCTGGCCTTTACCCACCAGAAGCCAGTAGCTCTCAGTAGAACCATTGCTGCAAACAAAATACTCTATGTTCTATAAACTTGGTATGCTAGAAATTATCATTCTTTTGTATAACTTACACATATAGACTATTACTTAAACACCAAATTAAGTTTTAACGTATGTCTGATCTTATCAGTATCAGATTATGAATATTGTGTTTCCTGATGAAAGTAAAAATATCAAAGCTTTAAAATATGACTGATTTATGAACAAAAACAGAAGTTTTCATGCCCAACCTAATTATTCTTGCAAATATGTAACAAAAATGATGAATTTTCTTACTGAATTAAATTTACCTCTTTATCATTCCTTGATTTTGTGTTAAAGTAGCAAAATAAATTACTTTGGTTTCTCTATTAATCAAACTCCTGGTGAAGGAAGGGAGTACATTTTTGAAGGACTCTCCAGACGGGTAGTGGGGGAAAAATGTTTTAAGGAGAGTGACAAATATGTGAGGTTGCTTCTTTCTATTATTAGGTTTTTATTATGTGTAGAGCTTAATTTCCCTGTTACTTACTGTATAAGAAGAAAATAGCAGTTCTTGATAAGATTTATTAGTTTGGGTTTATTTTTATTCCAAGGAGTTTTATTAGGAGTTGGCATTTGCTGATAAACCACTTAATGGTCTATCAACAAAACTGATGTGACTATGAGGTAGTGTGGGATGACTTTTGGAAACTGGTCTTATTTCTATAAAGTTTTGTTGTACAGGTAGATACGCACTGGAAACTTTTGCATATCGTCTTATTTTTAATGAGGCTTTGATCTCTTCCATAGAGGTTAGTTACCAAAGAACAAGGACCTCCCAGACTCAGCTACTTGGGATCCACTTAGCATGGATTCCAAAAACAGGATTGAGTGAGGTACCAGGTTTTTGGCCCTATTAGGTAGGGTTCCTCACTTTCTCATGATTTCTAAAACTACAAGAGAAATAAAAGGAGTAACTAGATTACCCTCTCATATTATCTTTGTTCAGTCCTTTTCTGTATTCTAAGGAGAAAAAGTAGTAAACAGAGGATGAAACCAAGGAAAGGGAAATGATTTGTTCTTCTCAGTGCTATAATATCTGGGTGGGAATGATTTTATTTGAATCATGTATCATAATAAAATCACAATCCATGGTCTATTCATGAAATATACAAATGTTATAGAAACCACCCAAAATAATGCAGTTAAGGTTTCGCTCGTTAAAAATCAAAGATTTAAACTTCTGATATTTTAATTCATTATGACTCTCAAAATTAGGCTCTTATTCTTGATTATATTGTATTTAATCTTTTTAATTTAAAAATAATTTACAGTGTTTTTTGTTTACTGACTGTTCTTATAATTTCTGTAAAACAAGGTAAAATAATTTTAAATTAAGTTAAATTTTTAAATTAAGTTTTTAATAAATTTAACTTATAAAACTCTTCCAGAGCATAAATAGTTGCTATTTAACCACATATATTTATATTTGCTATATTTACTGTAATATTTATTCTTAATTTATTTAAGATTGAAACATTCTATCATAAAAATTCTAGTTCTAAGGATATATCAGGCTTTATATTTTTAATGGATGAACAGGAGACTAATGTGGTTATTTGCTTTATAGCTTAAATTGGTACCAAGCACTGTGTTAATAAATAACTATCTTGAGCGGTGTTTATAGATGAAAAGGCTGATTGATATTTGCTGATGTTGCTTTTATCATGATCTCATTCTTGAAGGATAAAATTAGACCTTCTGGCCTATTCTTTGAAAATGGAGTAGTATTTCACTGGGTAAAATAGCTTTCAAGTAATAGTAGAGCCAGAGAGGATAGTTCTTCCCTGCGGTAGTAGTAAAGAGAATTAGTAATTAGTAACCTGAGCCATTTTTGAAAGCTGATGTATAAGCTATATTCATTTGCTTGTCTTCTTAGGTTAGTGCACTTGCTTTTATCATCACAATTCTTGCAATAATAGTCTAGTGCTAGAGATGCTCATGAATTGTTTGATGCTCCATAACTCTTCATTTAGATAACTTTCTAGTGACAGCATCTTCCAGTGGCGACAAAATTGTTGTTTCACATTACAAAAATAAACCTTTTCTACTTTTCGAGCTTGGTGAAGGGGTAAGTGATTTTTAAAAAAAAAATTTTAAAAATCTTAGTTCTGCTTGGGTGGTAACTGCTTCTTATGGTGCTTGCAACTAAATATAAAGGTGTTTAAAACTATAATTCTTAACCGAAACTCAAAATAATACAGTAACACTTAAAGAGGAGATGGGTACTGAAACATCTTCAGGTAAAATAATAGTGGATCTTAGGGGAGCAATCAAGGACTTAGATTATGTCTGCTAATCACTTGCTTTCTCCATCTCTCTCTGGAAGATTGCCTGATATTGCTGCCTTTTTAAAGCCCAAGTCCTACTGCGGTCACCAGGTTGATTTGACCATTCAAATGTCCTAATGATATAGTCCTATCCTTACTGCTGTTGAATTCAGGACCATCAGCTAAAGACCCCTATGTGATGGTAGCTTCTGCTTTAGCTTCTGTCCTGGTTACTGAGGGGCCTGCCTGAGTCTCCTCAAGCTCTCCTGGAACAGGATGGCTTTGTCAAACTGAGCCTTGATCCCAGAGCATTTAAATGAAGTTCTCACTGCATATTTTTTTCTGATCTTTTTGTTTTATATGTTAATCCCTCTGATTCAGGATAATGATGGTGTCCTCATTTTTAGTCACACACACTCCTTGAAATCTATTTTTTTGTTAATAAGGTTTAACTAAAAAGGTAGAAGTAGTGGTATCTTGTTCTTAATTTAAGGTTCAAAGTTTTCATAGCAGGCCCTAAACCATTATCAGTTGTCATAATTTTACACACTGGAATAGGTAGGGTAACTCACTTAGAAAGAACACAGAAGGACAGTGGAATATGAGCTCATCTAATTTAAAAAGGACTTTTGATTTCTGTCCATCCTTTCCTAAAGGCAGGTGGGATTGACACAAGCATCAAATCCAGCCCACAAATGCTAGAGGCTGGGGCAGAGAATGTCTGCTAAGGGCAGATACAGAATTTGAGACACACTGCCTATTCAAACTCAGTTAAATAAAATTGAGGCAGAGAGTAGCCCTGGTTGATAAAAGGTAAACTGTACTCTTCAAGAGCAGGCAGAACATCTTAGTCATTTTTGGATCTTTAGGTACTATCAGAGGTGTCAACAAGCATTTGTTGAATTGAATATCAATATCAAAACAATTTCAGTTTCCACTTCCAGCACAATATTGTGCTCCTTCTATCCATTATGCCTTAGAACAGTTTGGGAACTTTGTAATTGTTGTTCTTGTTAAATTATGAAAATAGTAGATGATATTCACAAATGTGACACAATTCTAAGGATTTTGTGAATATTCCACATCAGTTGCTATAGTTAGTTCTCTTTCCTACAGCTAAGAAATCACATCAGAATACAGGTGGATGGTGGGCACCTGGGTGGCGCAATTGGTTAAGAGTCTGCCTTTGGCTCAGGTCATAATCTCAGCGTCCTGGGATGTAGCCCCTCGTGGAGTCCTGTGCTTGGCAGGGAGTCTGCTTCTCCCTCTCCATCTGCCCCTCCCCCTTCTCATGCTCTCTCCCAAATAAATAAAATCTTTAATTAAAAAAAAAAAGTATACAGGTGGATGAAAGTGAGGTTATTATAATTTGAATCTGCTTTAATGTAATTTGCTTAAAAGAGTATTTTGCAAACGTTGGTTGTTTAGCATTTGTTAGTAATTTCTTGTAACATATTAGTGTGTTGATCACCTTTGCTTTGTAGGATCCAAGTCCTATTATTTGTGTGCCATTTGAGATATGAGACCATTACTCCTTGGGGAAATAGGATTCTATCTTACTTACTTTAACACGATTTTTAGAGCAGAACTTTAAGTTTATATTTATTTTCTTTGATTTTGCTTTTAGCTCTTTAGAGTAGGCAAATTGATATTAACAGTAATATAATGAATATCTTAAGCTACTGTATAACCTAGACATTTGGCCAGCTTTTATTTTTAGATTTTAAAAACTTCACCCATTGCTTGTGTTTTAGGGTACAGGATTCCTATAATAAGCACACAGTTTTCATCAATTATTTAAGTTCATTAGCTACATTAATAATACATCAACATAAAGGGGCGCCTGGGTGGCTCAGATGGCTAAGCGTCTGCCTTCGGCTCAGGTCATGATCCCAGGGTCCTGGGATCGAGCCCCACATCGGGCTCCCTGCTCGGCGGGAAGCCTGCTTCTCCCTCTCCCTCTGCCTCTCCCTCTGCTCATGCTCTCTCTCTCTGTATCTCTGTGTCTCAAATGAATAAATAAAATCTTAAAAAAAAAAAAAAATACATCAACATAAAAAAAAAAAAAAGATCTTCTAACATCAGGGTAGGCCAGTTGAAAACATAGGTTTTGTTCTGAGTCCTTAATAATTTGAGTTGTTTTTGATGATTAGAATACTAATATATTGATTTTGATGGACACCATTCTTATTTATTTTCTTAAAGGTTATTTTGATAGCTCTTAGTAAACTGTCCTGATTTGTGGTGATAACTAGATTCTTTTTTTTTTTTTTTAAGATTTTATTTATTTGAGAGGGAGAGCACAGGTAAGAGAGAAAGCACAGGGTGGGGGGCGGGTGGAGGGGCAGACAGAAGCAGACCCTGCAATGAACAGGGAGCCCTATGTGGGGCTCGATCCCAGTACCCTGAGATCATGACCTCAACCAACTGAGCCATCCAGGCGCCTCCAGATTCTAAATCAATACCAGTCCCTTTAGACCAAAGTCAGTTCCTAGAATGGTGTCTATAGGGAATTGTAGCAACTATGCTGAAACATTGATGTAATGTGTTCCTGATATTTTTATATGTGTTAGTAATTTTGACTCTTTGTCAAAATTTCAGAGCTGGAAGAAACCTCGGGGGAGGGATAGGTTTCTTATAAGAATCCGTTGCTCTCCTAGGGGATTGAGAGTACACTTAATCGTGATGAGCATGAAGTAGTCAATATACTGTACATCTGGAACTAATATAACACTATGTTAATTATACTGGAATTAAAATTTTTAAGAAAAGTGCTCTTTTGAGCACAGGGTGTTTTTCAGATGCGTGGACTCTTGAGGTAAGAACAATAGATCTAGTCCTGATTTTTCACTTCTCAGATGAAGAAACGTAGGCTTAGAAAGGTGAGATGACTTGCCTAAACCTACATAGCTTACCTTTTAACTTCTAGCTAAGTCATAAAATGTGCCCCTTGGAATTCATTTTTCTCTTTTTTTTCCCCATTGCATTCAACTAGAGGTGAGAACAATTAATGTAACTACAGAGTGTATCTGAAGGTTAAATAGGAGAAAACACATGCAACATTGTGTTTTACTGTGTAGCATAGTTACTGATGATGCCTCCAGATAGATGACGCTCACAGATACTCATTGTGAGAAAAACTTGAAAACCTCTGTATTTTTAGCCATTTATTCCATAAATATTTATCGAGCATGGATATGGTCTTTGCACTAATGAAACTGACATCCTGGTGGAAGACCGTAAACTACTAAACAGAATACCCAGATAGTGATTAAGTTGCTACACAGAGAATTAAAATAAGCATTGACATAGCAAGTTACATTAGGTGGCCAAGGGAGGTCCCCAGAAAGTGTGGCTTTGAAGTTGCTGTCTATCAACTAGAAGTCATTCAGCTAGGGCTCAGGGAATTGAGGTTTCCAGGCAAGTATAGAAGCCTTGAGGCAAATACAGGGCTGATAACGTTTAAGGAATGGAAGAAGGCCATTGTGGCTGGAGAATTAGTAGGTGAGGAGGAGAATGGTGAGAGATGAGGTAGGGTTTGAAAGCCAGGTTAATGAGTTTGGAATTTATTCTAGGGCTGATTGGAAGCCATCAAAATTTTTTAAATGGGAGCATCATGATCTGATTTGCATTTTTTAAAGGTCATCCTACTTGTGGAGCATAGAATGTAGGGGAGTCGGGTTAGAAGTGGGACAACCAGTTAGGAGGCTGCTGTTCGTGTGGTTCTATAGGGTCCGGATTAGTGTGTTGGTAGCCTCAGTAGATAAAGGGGAGCCCCTGTGGGGTTTATGTTAGTGTTGGAGTTTAAAGAACTTACAGTAGGTGGCAGGGAAGGAGACGTGGAATCAAGGGTAATTCTGGACTTTTGAGAAACTGAGTGGATGGTGCCTTTTCAGACGGGAGGAAGAGTGTAGAGTTAGGTTCTGAAGATCTGATATTTGAGACTTGGGCTCCATTGGGGGAGACTTTGTTGTGAGACTTTGGGCAAGTATCTTGTCTTCTTTATGAACTTTCCCCATCTGTAAAAGAAGGGGTCTAGACATTCTTTAAAGTCTCTTCTACGTTTAGTGTTTTCTGAGCTGTGGGTTGATTCTAATTCAAGATACTCTGTGAAAGTACAAGAGTAGGTTTTACTAAGGGGCAATATTAAGAGCAAGTAAGCCATGATGGGAGGCCAAGACTTGCTGGTGTTGCCTAAGCTTCCTCTGTCAGCTCTGTTCTATGGAGGAGAACACCGCTCTGGTTGAGTTCCTTGAAGCCTTTTTGAACTCCTTTCAAGCTGTTGGATGCGGGTGGAGGATGATGAGAGGTCAGTCTAAGTCTTAGCATGTTTATAGCATTTAATTCAACAAATGTTTACAAAGTGCTCACTAAGTGTTGGATGGGACTTGAAAGTCAGCTCTGGGCTCTATTAAATTAAGGTAACTTTTTTTCTTTCTTTAATAGCAAAAGCAGACATGTGTCAGTTTAAATTCCACATCTATGTATTTAGTAAGTGGAGGCCTAAATCACACTGTTAACATTTGGGATTTAAAATCAAAAAGAATTCATCGATCTCTTAAGGTAAGCAACTTTTTTTTTTTTTTTTTTTAAATCCTTGTAGTAATGAGTATCTTATGATGTTTAGAATATTTGCCACACTTTTAATTTTGAGCTTTTATGATAAAAATAAGATGCTTCAGAATTGAAGTGAGATTTGTTAGGGAAAATAAAGATGCTATTTAAGTCAGAAAAATTTTTTTTGGTCTGTTTTTACCTCCATGTATGTCACTAATGCATATTGTGGTGTTTAAAACTTTTCCTTTATTCTTTTCACTTAGTTCCTCTCTTTTTTCAGTGAACCACTTCCTTCATTTTTTCTGAAGTATGAGTTGTCATCAGAAATCTTTTTTTAAGTCTTGGAGAAAAATGAGAGTGGTTTTGGGATGGCCATAATCGACCTACTAATCAAAGTTGGGGATTTGACTTCTTAGTTCTCTAACGTATATGGTTGCGGCTGTTTGTGTTATTTTTGTGTGTATGTGTTTTCATCTTGGTAATTAAATATTTTTTAAAATAATTTACTATTTACAATTAGTGTTTCTTTAAATAATTAGCTTTTTGTAGTTTTAGAAAATAAAAATATTTGTCACGTGAAAGCTTCTGGGTTATGATGATTTTTTTGGAATTCACCTTTTCACTATTATGTACTTTTAATATTTGGAAACTCATTTTTAAGGTTATTTTTCATTTTCATATGTCTTTAAAAAACTTTTAATATGAAAATTCTAAACATGAATACACATACACATACATTCATCTGACTTTGATGATGGTCAACTCATGGCCAATATTATTTTATATGTGCCCTATCTACTCTCTAATCAGATTACTATGTAATCTCACCCTCAGATTATTTTGAAGCAAATGCTAGACACATTATCATTTTGTTAATGTCAAATGTCATTGGGTTAATTCTTGCTAGGGAAATTGTATATAAAGAATGATTTTGTTTTAAACAGAAATGTAATCCTATAATTGCTGCTTAAAATATTACCTTTGGAAGTTCATTATTTTAGATATTAGCTAAACTTTGAAGAGTCTTAAGGATAATTGAAGAGTTGCCAATAATGAGAATAGTTAACTTTTATTGAGTTCTTTGATATGCCAGCCACTGTGCTTAACTATGTTTATTCTTTGTGTCACAAGAATTCTGCAAAGCAGGTAGTACTATTCCTGTGAACCCATGGAGGAACTCTGGCTCAGGGATGTTAAAGAACTTGTTCAGTGTCAAACAGCTAGTAATGACAAAGATGAAATGCAAACTCAGATATTATCCATTGTTTAATTTTTTAAATTATGAAATTGAGTTAAAGTTATTTAGAGGGGTATACCTACTATGAAAAAGATTATTTTACAGAATTGAGAAGAGATTTGAAGTTTGTGGCCCCTTTTGTCACATATTCTCATTCATTTTAGGAGCATCTCTTACCCCTATAACTCCTATGGCATGGCAAAATGCTACTTGTTCTTCCATCCTCAGTTTTCCCAATTACTCCAGATAGTTTTGTCTCTTCTCATTGTTTACAACTCTTAGAGTACTTCATTTCTTTATTCATTCAGTTAACAAGTGTTTGACTAACTAATTTTGATAGTGGGAAGTCTAATCTTTCACCTTTGGGTCTCTTCTCTGCGGTGCTCTCCCTGGAAACACAATTTCTGGCACTTGGTAGGTGCTTACTGAATATTTGCTGAATGACTTATTTTCCACAGTTAAAATAAGGAAGACACTTGCTTCTTTTTAAAGTCATAGAAATTGTATTGGACCCCATGTTCGTAATTTTCCAAGTGGGAACAATGAACTAAATGTCCACTCTCTTTTTTTCTTCTCATCAGACATTTTTTCCTTGGGATAGCAATTTTTTCTTTGATTTAAGTAAGGAATAAAGTGTAAAGATACCTTCAGACATGCTCAAAGGGCCATTTGAAAACATTGGATTATAAGTGGAATATTATAGCTACTATTTATGATATTACATTAATCTAATTATTAGATGCAAAAGTTAGTTTATTTATATTAAGATACAACAGCAAACTGTTAAAATATACTTCTAACCCTGATCAGTTTTCTTTCCTTTTTTTTCTTTTTAAAGATTTTATTTATTTATTTGACAGACAGAGACACAGCGAGAGAGGGAACACAAGCAGGGGGAGTGGGAGAGGGAGAAGCAGGCTTCCCGCGGAGCAGAGAGCCCGATGCGGGGCTCGATCCCAGGACCCTGGGATTCTGACCTGAGCCGAAGGCAGACGCTTAATGACTGAGCCACCCAGGCGCCCCCCTGATCACTTTTCTATGCTCCTGCTAGATATCTCTAATTTGATGTTGGAAAATACAGTGCTTGTGAACCCAGTTTGTTTAAAACCAGTTTTGTTTCCTCAAAGTGGATTCCCCTTTGGATTGGGAGACAACCTAGTATAGAGAGGGAAATAGGCTTTAGGCTTTGACCTGGAATTGAATCTTGGATCTGCCACTTAGTAGTTATGTGAGCTTGCACAGATTTCTTAACCTTTCTGTGCCTCATGTAGTGAACTCATCTATAAATGAGAAAAGTGACCTTGCCTCCCAGGATTCTTCTAAGGATTAATAAGAATTCATAATGTTCCCAGCAAATGGAAACAGCTGCTGTCGTCTCTCAGCCATGCCTTGCTTCTTCTGGCTTTGGGGCTTTTGTTTTTGCTCTCTTCCATTTTGTGTGTCTGGTTTCTTTCCCCTTCCCCTACTTATTGTTTATTTTTTCTCTAAGGTTGAACTCAAGCTTTATGTCTTCCCCACAGCTTCTTCTGTCAACTTAGGTCACAGTCATGCCTCTTTCTCTTTCCTAGGACACTTTGCCTCTACTACTCATCTAGCATTCCTTCTGCCATTTTCATGTTAATTTAAATGTCCTGTCTTTTCCATTGAACAGTGATACTTTCAAGGCCAGGGACTCTCATAATAGTCAACTTGCAATAAATGTTAGTTGTCAGTGGAAGGTAGACATATTGCCATCTAGAAAATTACCTTTCCCTTTTGTCTCTTATTTCAGAGTGCCTTGATCATTATTACAGTTATAAAAAACTAAGTCTCTGTTCCCTGAGAAGACTTGGTGTTGATCAAATAGTTTCCTACTCATTTGAGTAATTTTTATTTAGGTTATTTGAGGAAAATGTTAAAGCAGATATTAAATTCACAAATACATAATATTTACCAAAAATGAAATTTACAAAAACATGAAAATGTGCGGTGTGAAGGTTATGTGGTAGTGTACTTACTTTCATTTCTTTCAGGATCATAAAGATGAAGTAACTTGTGTCACATACAATTGGAATGACTGCTACATTGCTTCTGGATCTCTCAGTGGTGAAATTATTTTGCACAGTGTAACCACTAATTTATCTAGTACTCCCTTTGGCCATGGCAGTAACCAGGTACAGTATGCATTTATTCAAATCAGAGTTGATAAGGTAGATTTTGAATTATCTTACATAAGACAGTGAATTTTAAGTTTTCAAAATTAAGTATTTTAAATTTGCATTTAGCTTGCTTAAAAAACTTAGAGCTAGCTGTTTTTTAATGGTATTCTTTAAAAATGTTCAAATAAGGTAATTCATACTGGATTATGTTGCCTACATGAGTTCAGTTATGCCATTGAGTAGTCACATGCTCCTAGAATATAACTGTATATGGCAAAATATAAACAGTTGTTGGGTAGGTTAAATCTGATATATGGATATTAATCTTTCTATGACATCACAGTTATCATAGCTCAAACTATGTCAGCTACAAGATAGATACTTCTGTTCAAAAATGCTTTTTGGTGAACATAGATGGTTGAGTGTGTTTAGGCACAAGGTTTTTGTGTAAGTATATGATAGTCAAAGTCCCAAAGCTTGTTTATGGACTTTCAGGTTAATACAGGAGTAGTGAGGGAAACTTTATGAAGGAAAATTAGTCAAGTAATTTTTTTCTTTATAAAATATTCATCTGTAAAATTTGTAAAAGAATAAATTCAGTTACTCAAGAAATCTAAGTTTTGGCCAGCTTTCTGTGAAATTCTCTGCAGAAATTTCCAGTGAGGTGCAATCTCTTTCAATCCTTACTTTTTATTATAATCACTTTGGCCTTAACTATTATTAGATAAAATATGGGAGCTATTCACTTTTGAAAAGCAATTTTTGAAATCATGATTTGAATAGTATATATTTAGTGTTTGAGGAAAATTTAATGGATATTAAAAACAGAAAAAAGTCTTCTCAAATTCCTTATATGTTGGGGGAATAAAGGAGATAAACATAAACATGATATAGATGATTGATATAAAACAGTCTTATGGTGATTCAGAGCAGTGGGAGAACTATCTGGGAATAAAATAGGGAAAAGTGAAGGAGGGAGGATTTCATCTGTGTCTAATGCTTAAATGATTTTTATTTTGCTTTTACTACAGTATAAATTGGCTTCTTTGCTAATTGATTCTAATTTATATTAGGGTTAGCTCTTTACATTCCCACTTTATAGGTGGAACCATGTCTTGTTTCTTTGTCCTCAACCATTATCCAGCTTTGTACTTTATATGGAAAAGATTCTTAATAAATATGTAAATGGATATAGAGATAACAAAGATCTTAATAGGCTAATACAGAACTTTGGGAGAAGGGTATTTTGTATGTAGGAAATCAAAAACACTAAGGAAGGCATATAGGTTTTTATATAGGGCCAATGTGAAAAAAGATTGGAAAGGTTAAGTATGAGCATAGTGTTAATGTGGAACTTTGAATGCCAGAACAAAGATTCAGCTTTTATTTTGGAAGGCATTTGAGGAGCTAATCAGAGTTTTTGATTAGTTCAATGTCCGAATCCTAGAAACCTTGAACTAAAAGAAAGCGTTTACAGGTAATTTCACTTTCTGCATTTTATGGATGTGGATAAGTTATTTGCCACAGAGAACGTATTAATACAGTCATAAAAGCAGGAAGTAATATTTTTTTTTGTCATTCTTTTTTTGGTTATTTGTATTTTGATAATGAGACATAAAGCCTAAGCCCATAAACATCAGAACTATTGTGAAAAAATCTTATCTAATGTTCACATGTCTTGCTTTTTAAGGAAATTAATTTTCTTTCTTCCTTTCCTTTTTTTTTTTTAAAGATTTTATTTATTTGACAGAGACACAGCGAGAGAGGGAACACAAGCAGGGGGAGTGGGAGAGGGATAAGCAGGCTTCCTGCGGGGCAGGGAGCCCGATGCGGGACTCGATCCTGGGACTCCAGGATCATGACCTGAGCCGAAGGCAGTCGCTTAACCAGCTGAGCCACCCAGGCGCCCCTCCTATTTTTTTTTTAAAGATTTTTGATATATTAGAAGCATGACACATTTAGATTAAAAATTCTTGGCTGACTTTTTAGTAACATAAACATTAGGTCAGATACCTACCATGTGAATTCTTATATTTCAGTTTTTATTTTATCTTGTTAGAGAGGTTTTTTTTTTTTTGGGTTGGTTTGTTTTTATTAAAACCAGACATGAAGGAATAGTTCTGAAAGCATTAGATTTAGTTCTTGCTCTTGGCTTTATTATGTGCAAAGTATTTAAATTTCTAAAATTGAGATATAATTTAAATAATAAGGGGCATATATCTTAAGTATATAGCTTGATGAATTTTTATATATGTATATACCTGCATAACTACCAGAAGGTATAGAACATTTCTGGCACACCGGAGGACTCCGTCTTAACCCTTCCCAGGCACTACCTCATATTTCTTTTTCTTTTTTTTTTTAAAGATTTTATTTATTTGACAGAGACACAGCGAGAGAGGGAACACAAGCAGGGGGAGTGGGAGAGGGATAAGCAGGCTTCCTGCGGGGCAGGGAACCTGATGCGGGGCTCGATCCCAGGACCCTGGGATCATGACCTGAGCCGAAGGCAGACGCTTAACGACTGAGCCACCCAGGCGCCCCTGCCTCATATTTCTTAAAAGAATTGGATGTGTCTGGTTTCTTCTAGTCTTCACTGTTTGCCTTGTTGCATGGAATAGTAGTTCATACTGTTTTACTGCTGTGTCATTTTCCATTATATGAATATGTCACAGTCTGTTGATGGACATTTGTGTTGTTTCTAGTTTTTAGCTATTACAATAAAACTTCTGTGAATATTCTTTGTGAATGTCTTTTTGTGGACTTACGTTTTCATTTGTCTTGAGTAAATACTCAGAAATGGACTTGCTTAGGTCTTAGTGTAGGCATCATGCTTTACTTTATTAAAAAATGCCAAAAAGCTTTCTAAAGTACTTGAGCCATTTTACACTTCTACCAGCAATGTTTGTGAGATGCAGTTGCTCCACATTTTTGCTAATACCAAGTATTGTTTATCTTATTAGTTATAACAATTTTGATGGTTGTGTAGTGGTACCTCATTGTGGTTTTAATTTGCATTTCTGCATGCCGGATGTGTTGAGTGTATTTTCATATGCCTTCTTTTGTGAAGTGACTGTTCAAGTCTGTTCCTCCTTCTTGTATTTTGTTACTTGTGTTTTTTTCTGATTTATAGTTTATTATATATTCCAGATTGAGTAATTTTTTGGGTATGCATGCTGCATGTATCTTCTTTTAGTCTACAGCTGGCCTTTTAACTCTAATGCCTCTTTCCTGGGATCGAGCCCCACATCTGGCTCTCTGCTCCGCTGGAGGCCTGCTTCTCCCTCTCCCACTCTCCCTGCTTGTGTTCCTGCTCTCGCTATCTCTCTCTCTCTGTCAAATAAATAAATGGAATCTTAAAAAAAAAAAAAATGAACAGAAGTTCTTAAATTTAATGAAACCTAGTCTAGTATATCACTTTCACTTATAGATGCTCTTTTTTGTGTCCTCTTGAAAAAATCTTGCTCACCCCAAGGTCTTAAAAATAGTGTCCTTTTGTTTTCTTTTGGATTAAAGCTTTATTGTTTTACCTTTAGATAAAGCTTTATTTTTTTACCTTTCCCATTTATGTCTCTTATCATCCATTTCAAATTAATTTCTGTGTATGGTGTGAGATATAGGGTTCAGCTTTCCAGACAGGTGTATAATTACGTCAGCATTACTCATTGCAAAGACCATCCTATTGCCACTGGGGTGACTGTAGGTGGTGAGAGGGTTTGGAGAGCATTCCAGGCAGAGGTTATCACCTTCATATAATCCTTACTACCATTTCCTGTCTTTCAAGCACTGTGATTATTGCTTTATGTTACATTTTCTTGTTTAATCTTTGCTACTCCCTTGTGAGATGTATGTTACAAATTTTTTTTCATTTTTTAATTTTTCATTTTACAAATGAGGACTTTTAGATGGCAAGACTTTTAACTATTTTGAAGATCTGTTCATTAAGAGTGGTAGCACTGTTTTCTTTGGGATCTCTTTCTAGCTCAGAGGCAGCTGAATGTATAAAGATTTGAGAATCCGAAGCTTCTGGAAACTTTGCAGTATTCTCTTGCCACTTTAAAGATATTTTAAAATTCTAGGTGATAGGTCACTGTATGGTTGGTTTTCAAAGGATTTTCATTGATTATTTGCATAGCAAAACTGAATTTAAATTATTTTGTAGTTGAGGAAAACAGTAATGCTGTAGGCTTATCTCTTGTGTAAGGTCACATGAGATCTTCATGTGTCTGCTGCCTTCTGCTAGCACAAGTCGGCATCTCCATAGGATCGTTGATACAGTTCTGTATCGCAGGTCCCACATTTATTTGGAGAGCTAGCTGTGTGAACCTGGGCAAGTTACTTAACTCTCAAGCCTCCTTTTCTTTATCTGTAAGTGAGAATGCGAATATACTTTCAGTAGAGTCTTGTTTTTTTGTTTGTTTTGAGGGCTAAATGAGATGCTGAGTGTGTTTAGCATCGTTCCTAACATTTGGTAAGAGATCAGTGAACTTCAGTGAGCTTTTAATGAATAATCATATTAAATCATTAAAATAACTTTTGTGATTTACTTTCCCAAACTGGTTTGCGTATCTTTAGGTTTAATGAGTTCCCTCTAAACCCTTGCTAATTTTCCAGTTGTAACTTGACCTCAGTAATCATGTTTTGTGTGTTTGACTTAGAAAAAGGAGAGCATTAAAGAAAGTGAAGAAATTGAACTGGAGTATTTTAATTTTTCCCCCTTCCCTGGAACAAATGTTTGTATGTTTTGTGTACTGTATTATTTAACTTTTCCTCTGTACCTTTAACACAGAGTACGTGGGCTAGGAAATACCATTTGGTCGCTGTGTAACTATGCAGTTTCAGTTTTTTTAGTGAAGAAAGTCACAGTTTTCATGATTCTGCATACTTATATTTCCCTTTTATGAGCATTGTAATTGAAATCTTTGGAGTGGTGTTGTTTTGTTTTGTTTTGTTTTTTTCCCCCTACAAATGATTTTGTTATGGTGTATTTTTTTTTTTAAAGATTTTATTTATTT